CAGTGGTTCCCAACCTTTTTTCATTAGCGTACCCCGTGACATGCCATATCTCTAGATTGTACCCCGTGACATGTCATATCTCTAGATTGTACCCCTCATTTAAGAAATTTAGTGAGTACCCGTATTGTTAATTTTACATATTGTAACTTTAAATTAAAGAAAAAAAAATAAATGAAAAAATGTATAATAAAGTTGTGATTGTTGCAAGGAAATATTTTACGTAATAATTTTTTAATACTATTAGTTTGTGATACATAATATATTATTTTTTCTGCCATAATAACTAACTTTTTTCTGCACCCCTAAGCAACCTATCGCGTACCCCTAGGGGTACGCGTACCACAGGTTGGGAATCGCTGATTTAAGTAAATATTTTACCAGAGGATTATTCATCCTATATGATGATCTCAGCATGAGCATCAACTGGTAACAGTTTTTGAGTGCGCTCGTTAATAGCAGTCGCTCTGCAACGGGAGTGCACTGCTGTTTGTAGACACTTAGGAATGACGGTGAAAGAAAGATGGCGGTGCCTGCATTATCGATAGTATCGTGATGGAGGAATCTATAATTCTAAAATGAGCTTTTAGAGGCAAAAGAAGGGTCCCAATTGTAAAATTTAACCATTAAATGGATTATTGTTGAAAGAGCATTCAAAGTAGCCATGAAAACAATTAGAATGCTCGTGCAGAGTTACGTGGAGGATAAAAGAACGCACCCTTTATTACATTTCATGTTGTATGAGGGTTTTACCCAATTCCTGAACCATGTTATACGAGGGTTACCTGTATATCATAAAAAACACAAAGCTCTGAACTTTATAAATGAAATTCCAACATAATTTAATACAGATAAAATACAAATGCTTTCAATCTACATAGATCATCTTCAGCTTAATGTGTTCCAAAATGGAATGCAAAGAAAGGAATATTTTTAGAGAGTTTTCAAATATTCATTGCTGGGCATCATGCAATTAGTCTAGAGACACACGTCTAGGCACTATCCAAATGATGATGCTTTAGAATATCACTAGATATAGACATTAAAGTTTTGTCACATAGACACCTTTAAATTCTTATTTAATGACTACAACAAAAGCTGAATTATTAGAGAGATTAAGAAGGATCTTAAACTTGGTGCTCCCAAATTGGCTGTTTTGCATCAGATACAAACTATATAGTTAGTTAGTCTAGAGATGATTCATAGAGTATTGAGAAAGTATTATATCCATGGAAGAATAGCTAGAAAAAAACCAGATGTAAATAAATGTGATCACCTGAAGAGAGTTACTTTTGCTCAAAGTTACTTAATAAAGGAAAATAGCTTTCAGATTTATTTCTTTTTTGTAGCGAAAGCAAGTTCAATCTACATTCAACAAAGTCAATCTAAATATACTATACCTAAGTACTTAGGTTGACTTTGTTGAACATAGATATCAGTTCAAACTTTCAGAAAGTGCAATTTATGTTCAATCTATTTGGTTCAGATAATAGAAGATAGTACAAAGGAAACCAAATAAAATGCCAAGCAAAAATATTCTACTAACAGTTAAGCATAGAGAAGGTTCTGTTATGATCTGGAAATACATGAATGCATAAGGTATTGGAAAGTTAGTACTTAGATTTAAATATGGATCAACACTTGTATTTAAGTATTTTGATTGAAACTTGAAAGCACACATAGCAAATATGGGCATTTTAAACAGTTTAAAATTTTATCAGGACAATGATTCAAACACAAGGCACTTAATGTTTATTTGTGGCTAGATTATAATTGTCCAAATGTACTAGATATATCTGCACAATCATCACAAATTTATTTTGTTGAATATTTATGGTATGTACTGGAGTCATGCATGTGAAAATACAAAATTAGTAATGCAAATATATTGAAAGAAAAACTTACTGCAGAATGGAAAAATATAAGCCAAGACTTATGTAAAAAACTTGTTTCATCTGTACAAAAATGATTGAAAGATGTTCAAATTTGAGGGATATCCAACAAAATATCAAAACTTCTAAATTTATATATTTTTTAAAATTTATTTTATATATCAATTTAAATGAATGGACATCTATGTGATGTGAAATTTCCCTTTTGTCCAATTTGATGCTATTTATTTTATTCCACAATATAATAAAATCCAGTTGTTTGTTAATTAGAAAACTACTAATTAAATATCTTAAAATATTAAGCATTTTATATTAAATAAAAAACAAAAATACTTTTTCATTGCTGTTTATTAATTTATGCTACATGAAACCCCTCATTTAAGAAATTTAGTGAGTACCCGTATTGTTAATTTTACATATTGTAACTTTAAATTAAAGAAAAAAACCTAAATGAAAAAATGTATAATAAAGTTGTGATTGTTGCAAGGAGATATTTTACGTAATAATTTTTTAATACTGTTAGTTTGTATATGCTGTTAGTTTGTACATAATATATTATTTTTTCTGCCATAATTACTAACTTTTTTCTGTACCCCTGAGCAACCTATCGCGTACCCCTAGGAATACGCGTACCACAGGTTGGGAATCGCTGGCCTAAAGGAAAATCCATCTAACTTTTATGCGTTTAAATTTAATATACAACGAAATTATAGAATAAGTAATCATTTTACACCTTTTTATTCAACAAAAATTAACCTATTTTTTAACTGGCACGAAACGCATCAAACATAACTCTGCTGTATTTTCATGTTAACATTTATGTGTTGCACTTTCATAACGGGTTTGCCATTTACACATCACATTAGTTAGTCACAGATTAGTTAACCGCAAGAACTGTTGTTTCAAGGAATAAAATTATTTATGGATTGTCCTGGACAGTTACTAAATAATGTCAAGATCAGACTGTAATTGATAAATGTTTCTATTGATATGCTGTATGCTTAATGCATTGGTTACCAAAGTTGGTGGTAAGTAAATTTAGGGGGCAAAACTAAGCAAGTGGACAGCAAGGTCTCTGGAGTCAAGATACTGAACAATCACCATAGCCGAGAGTTTGGGTCACTGACGATCTTTCCCTTTTTTTCGTTTAAAACGGATAAGAAGAAACGTTACGTTTAATGGTTTCCAGCTGTGGAAAACGTTGTACGGTGAAGGCACAAAGTGTGAGATATCGTACATATAAATGTTTTCCTAAGAATATCTGCGAGTATTTCTTAGAAAAGAAACATTGAGTTAGAGTGCTAAGGTACGGTTGGAGTGCATTGGATTCAAACTTATGTAACGTAGAGGACGGAGGCTCCAAATAGTTTGGAAATAACTGGTTTAAATGGATAAACTGTTCTATGAAGTTATATGTATTCTTTGTTAACTTCACTGTTTCTGGTATGAGTTTTGTCTTATGCAGCATTATATTTCTTTTATTGGTGGATTTTCGAAGATTTTTGTCTGTAAACTTATTTTCCGCCTGCCTTAAACAGTATATTTGCCAACGATTGGAGACATTATGATTACTGTATAACGGTAAAAAAAAGAAGTTGATTTGAAAATTCTAGGAATGGCTGACCTTTATATTCGCATCGTAGGTATACTAAATTGAAAAAGCATGTTCAATTTGCATAGATATTAATGTGTGCGGTTACAAGCTATCTGAAATAGGCAACATCTGTGGTAGATTACTGGAATGTATAAGTAAATACATTCATAAATCTTGTAATTATACATGATCTACAAGTATTCCATTATATAAAATAAATTATACAGATTCTTATACTTACTTGCTACATATTACAACTTTGAGCGTAAGTTTACTGTGAAAATTACTGTTGAAGCATTCAGATCTGTATACTTCTGGATCTTGTTTGTATTCGAATCATTTGTAATTGAAAAATATAAAAAAATATAAATAAACATATTTTTAGACAAATATACACTACGGAGAANAAACATGATACAAAAAATTGTATATATATTTGAAATATTGAATGGGTGTAGATTGAAAACTACTTTTATCTGTCTTATCTTAAATATAAAAAATAACCTTACCGTTATCTGGCACTTGAAGATTGTGTGTTAATCATAGACTGCTTAATCTGACACTCTTTTAAAATATATGAATTTTTGCAAATAATTTCATTATATTTTATAAAATTATAGAATATTTCTACTAATTGTTAAACTCATTAAAAAATTATCAAATGCTAGTACCTGTCGTGGATTCGCACAAGGTAAATGTTTAGACACGTAGTGTTTTCGTGTTTTCTTTCTATCTAATACAAGAACTGGGATCTGTTTATCATGAAAAGGTTTTCTTATAGGAACCGATTTTTAATAAATCATTTAGATGTTGTGCCGCCTTATTTCAGCAAAGAACGTTCAATAATCTGTCGTTACTGCTGTTATAAGAGCCAGTTTAATACAGTCATATCGTAGCATTATAATCTGTGATTGATATTTAAATATCACATTAATATAAACAATTTTAATTTTTATTGGAAAATATCAATTTTGTTAAATGTAAAAAGCAGTAATTATTTTTCTTACACTAAAAGCTATATTGGGTTAATTATTAATACAAAAGTTGAACTGTATTTTCGACTTTGTATATTTTACATGTGTAGTTTACGTTATATAGGTAACTATATAGAAACAAAATTAAAGTATGAAGCCTCAAATAATTTTATTACTAGTTTTTCTTTCACCCACTTTCAGGAATGTAGTCATAAATTAAAAATTGCCAGGGCTCTAACCTTTGTCTCCGAGTTTTAATAGTTACAGTCTACGGAATTTTTGTGCTCATAGTGCAGAGTTTTAGGGCCCAATCTGCAATTAGACAAAAATATGCTTTAAATATTATATATATACGTAATGGACACAGAATAGGAACTGTGCAGGAAAAAATTTTTCAGTGTTTTGGCCAAAGAACATAGTTGTCCAACATGGATGTTGTGAAAGTATAAGAACTAAGCCATAATTAAATAAACCAGCAACGACCTTGTTCTACTTTTCCAACAGCATTTAAAATTTTTATGGCGCCATCCATTACTATGTTTTATTTTAAAACTTATTATAATTTTAACTATTATGAAAAAGAAAAGGTTTATTCTTTTAAGGTAAAAATCTTGCATACTAATTTTAGCATTGGAAAAGATAATTAACCATGATTTGCGTGTATAAATATAATTAAGATTATATAAAATACGCATTTTCTATTAATAGCACTAAACGATGAACAATTTTAACGTTACTAAAATTTATTATCCATTAAATCTAGTCTTTCGAATCTGTGCAGAGAATAAATACATTAGTATATTACACATCTATAACCATTAAAATCTTTTAAAGTAAGTGGGTAAGTCCATTAAAGGCTTTTAAAGTAAGTGGATAAGTCCATTACAGGCTTTTAAAGTAAGTGGATAAGTCCGTTACAGGATTTTAAAGTAAGTGGATAAGTCCATTAAAGGCTTTTAAAGTAAGTCAATATCATGTAATTAGATAATTACTAAGTAAAAGCGTTTTATCTTTACGTTCATTGCGAAATTAAGATAGGAAATTTATAAACGTGAGCACGAATATACTCCATCATTTTCACAGAAGAACCGAAGTAATAACAGCAATCAGTAAAATAATCTAACATGCCATTGTCTTCAGATAAATCTTTTTGCTTGGCGTATATCTTATTCCCAATATTAAATTCTGCGAAATTATTCGGTCTGGACATCTGCATCCCTTGTCATTGCATCAAGCAGGAAACAGAAGAACGAAGAACGAATATTTTATAATTTTTATATAATATTTATAATCGTTTAGTTGAAACATTTCTTTGGACTGTAGCATTTGTGTGCTTTATAAGAATTAACGAACCCAATATTTACGCTTTACGAGTACTTCGTGTTTTTAATGACTTCGCATTATCTGCAGCAGTAATAACATTTATTCTTATAGAATACATTGCCGGACAATTTACACTATTAAAACGGAATAAACTTTCATTTCGTTGTGTGAAAAGCAGTTACTATGAAGAACTGAAGAACGTCAGCGCGATGCGTAAATATTTATTAGTGGTTTCTTTCATAATGATGGGGATATTTACTACGTTTCCCATCGTATCGTACTTTTCTTTATTTCTTGAAATTAAAAGACAAAACGGAACAGACACAGAAGCATTGATTTGTTCCGTGTTTCATACAGTATTGCTGATTTATTGTGCGGGTCAAATTTTCTCCTTATTTTTAATATTTAGAGCCACATTATTTCTGATTGGTGAAAGATGTATTAAGCTTTCTGAAGAGTTAACTCAACTGAAAATAAGAAGTTACTCACTAAAGGAACAAGTAGAAGAGATGTTCGAAAAACACGTGGAAATTTGGGAATTCTTCGGAAATTTAAATGAAAAATGGAAGATTTTTCTCCCCTTTATTCATACTCATTTGGTTTACATCACTTCTTTCGTGTTGTATGCTGGATTGTTTGTAAAGATGGAATTCTATTTACGTATTGTCATCTCGTGTATTTCTATAATTTCGCTGTTTGCATTTGTTGCACTGTGTTGGAAATTGTCTGCTTTCACTTTGTTGGTGAGTACAAATTTAAAATATCATACACTTTTCTATATTATTTCATAATAAGTAATACATATGGAATCTTAAATAGTCTATATCAAATTTTGATATCTATTACTATAAAAACTACAGTTGTACTGGTTATTTCAATTTATTATTTTTTACCTTATAAGATTCTTAATAGTAGTAAAACTTATATTAATTGATTGGTCACAAACAGGAAGCAGTATCAAAGATAAAACTCAGTTTTTTTGTTTGTTTTCTAGTAAACAACAATAATTTAAAATTAAATTTACAACATAGAGTCACAACAATGAAACTTTACTTACGTGATTCTAGGTCTTAGACGGTGCTAACGTAACAGTGGTACAACTAATTAATTCAGTTTACCACTCTTATTTTTTCCACAAATTTGTAGAAAATGAATCGAGCAAACGAGTAAATAGCACGGCCTTTTATAACTTGGCTGTAATTTACTTTGTTAAATTACATGTTTCTGATTTTAACATCACATTTATTTATTTAGTTGTACGACGATTTCATTTCTATGGAAAAACTGTTTGCTGCAGATTTATCACCATTATTCAAGTTGAAGGTAAGTTTAATATTATATTTTTTGAATTTTAAGTTTTTTCAGTCAGAAGGTTCTGCCTAAGGATTCAAAATTAAATTAATATTCTTAAGAGTTTTTGCGTAGGAGCTACATTAGCATTTTTAACTACGACCCGAAATGAAATATTTTCATCACTAATTATTTGAATTATGATCATGAAATTTTTTCATTCTTAGATTCTCAATTTTATGAAAAGATATGGAAGAAACCCATTAGGAATTTCTATAGGTGGTTTCTTTTACGTCAAAAGAAATTTTGTAATAAGGGTGAGTAATACCTTGAAATATCATTGTGAATTTAAACACATATATAAAAATTGCTTTACTTATTAGGTGATTAGTGGACTCTACTCGACATTGTCTTCGTTGATTCAAGTGAGTGGTGTGATGCATAAAGAGAAAGTATGCAATGCAGATTTTAGCAGTAAAAATGTGTCTAACAGTACTTTGAAATAGAAAAGTATGAAACGTTTTTCCCTTGATAACAAAAGATATATACCTAAATATTTGTAAATGTATTGTCTACAATTGCATCAAGTAATTAAGATGTAGTCACTTATTGAAAAAAACAGCAGCACGTGTAAAACTATTTCTAGAATTTATAACTTCAAAATGCAAATACATTCCGAATAGACATAGAAATTGTAACTCTTTACCTCAAATTAGTACATATGCAACTTCTATTGGAAGTTTGTAAAGCATATAAGCTATACAAAAACCGTCAGACATTCCAGTAGCAATTTGATTATGCTCATCTGCCACAGAACATCCCAAGAACACTTTACAAACAAACAAAAAAAAAACACTTTGAAAGGCATTATATTATTAAACTGTGGAAAGTAGCTGAATTTACTGAAGAACAGTCTATCATCTGCTTAAGCCGAAGAAATGTGAAAAGTGTTCGAAACAAAAATTCTACTCGCAGAGGTACTTAAATAAACGATATTATAACCAATGCTGTTAGTTTCTCCACGGTTTGGAATGTAGCTTTATGAAGTCTATGTAAGCGGTTAGCCAACCGACTACATAAATTAAATATGGGTATAGGACCTACAGTATTTTCGCTGATTTTAATATGTCACTAGCATTATCGGTAATTAAAACTATCAACTTTCTCTTCGTTTGTAGGTTGTATAACTTATCTGACTTAAAAACAACAGATTTAGGTAAATTTTTCTATCATTAAGTGATAAAATTAATGAATGAATTATTAAAAAAAATAATGTAATTGATAAATAGATTACTCAATAAGTTCCAAAATCACGAGTTTGAAACTGGCCGAAGCAAACTGCTCACTAAATCATTATATTTTCTATATCAGTAGCTTATGCTGTCATTTTTAACGATAACTATTAACTGTAGTTAATTCAGTTCTTAGTAAATGTAACCGCCCGTATCGTATATTGCTGGTAGGAAGTACAGTACACCTTTGACGAAATAATATTATGTACAATAGTTAAAAATGTTCTAATAAATATAAAATTCTAGCAATGTGTTGCATGTTTCCCAGATGTTTTTAGGTTTTCTTCAAAATGTAACTTGTATACTATTATTAATAAATAAATAAAACTATCTGTAGTTCAATCTGTTTCTATATCTTTTAAACAAATAACTTTTATACTAACAACAAGCAGTTATCTATTGTGACATCGTCAAAATACTGGGCCGCAATTTTTAACCGTATTATTAATTTTTAATAATAATATATTTTAATTCATTTGTGCATATTTAATTTTGTTATTGATATT